ATTCCATAAAATAAAAACTTCTCCTTTGACTTCACATTAAAAAATAAATAATTTATAGTTTTAAATTAGAGTTATAATAAATATATTAAGAAAAAATCTTTTTGATCAAAATGAATTTTTTTTTATGTAATTTACTTTTTTAAAAATATTTTTATCTTTCTAACTTTAATACATTTTACTTTTAAAAATAGAAAAATAATGAATTTTAAAATTAAAAAAATACTATAGTTTTGGTCATTTAGCACAATGTCATTTAATTTTGTGATTTTAAGTATACCGCAAGAAGAATTAAAATTAAGAGAATTTTTATACAATTTTTATAGTGTTAAATATTAGTTATATCATATCTTAATTTTTTTTAAAAATTACAAAAAATTCCTTAAATTTTGTGAAATTTGGATCCACCCAAAAAGTTTCGATACGTCATGTTTTGATTTCAAATACATCTCCCAATGTATCAATATAACGTGACTCGATTTTAGATTGCATCACTCAACGTTCTCTATTTCATAGACATCATTTAATATCCTCGATACATTACGTAAGTCTCGATACATTGCATAAAATGATATATTCTATCAATTTATTATGTTAAGTGATGTATCCGAATTAATACATTATTTAAAGTTAATGTAAAGTGATGTAATTGAGAATAGGAGAGTAGGAATTTTTATAATTTTTTAAAATTAGTAGGAAATTTCAGAAAATATATTAAATAAGTTTTGTATCTAAGTAAAAATAAATAAAATTATGTGTTTCAATAAAAAGAAAGAAAAATTATTTTTTGAAATAGCTAAAAATAAAAACATGTGATTCTTTTTAATAGGGAGAGTGTACTTGTTTTAAATTTTAATTTATATATTTCCTCTTTCTAAAAAAAGCATATTATATTTCTTTTTACTACTATTTTGAAAAGATTGATTTATTTCCTTTTGATAATATTTCAAGGCTTACCTGTCTTGTTAAAAGTCAATGAATTAAAGATATTTTATGATATTTAATGTAATTTTAATTTAGAATCATAGAATTTAAGATATTTTTTATTTTTTAAAATTACGCGTCACATTAAAATAGGTAATCTTTTTAAACGAATTGAGTGTTATATATTTTTGTCTTTCTACTATATTTACTAAGCGTTTGGTGATAAAATTTAAGATTTCGACTCTTTATGTTTTGATTTGAAATTATGAAAATATTTTTTTTTAGAAAAAAGACAAATCATTATAATTTTTGCAAAATAAAAACTTATATTTAATGTGAATAAATTATACATGTTCCATGTGAAAAAGTTATATTTAAAATAACTAAATTTTACTATTATTGATCCTTTAAACAAATAAATCTTCGTAAAATTATATATAGTTAGAATAACGCATAGCAAAAATTAGAGTTTGAAGCTAAGAGGATAATTTTTTTCTTTCAAAATAATCAAAGCGGCACATAAAAAAATAACCAAAAGGAAAGAAGCGATTTTCTTAACGTTGCGTTAAAAAAAATTCCAGCAATTTTCTTAAAAAAGGAATTTTCTTTAAAATCGTTGCTATAGCAACATTTTTATAAAAAAGAATTATGTTAATGTTAAATCGCTGCTACAACTATAATATTGGTTTAAAAATTTTTAAAAAGTTTTGTTATTCAATGACTATATTTCCATCGATTTGATAAAATTAAAAAAATATTTTTTTATATGTTTAATCTTTCCCTTTTAAAAGTTCTTTTTTTAATTTGATATTCTTTTATTACTTATTATTTATGATATATAGTTCAATTTTCCTTGTACTTCAACAATTACATTGAGTGTATTATCCGTCTTATTTATCATTTTTATATTATTAATAATCAATAATAGGCATGAAAATAATACTATAGCACATTAACATTAGACATGAAAAATGTTGTCCCTACTGCGATGTAAGAAAAAAAATCAGACAAAATCACTATCACGACAATAATTTTTAATTAAAAAAGAAGAAGAAAATTTGGAAAAATCACAGCAATTTTTATTTTTAACCGCGTCATTGTATAAGACTTGTCTTTCTGATTTTTAAAAAGAATGATATGTCCTTTTGAAATTTTTGACAATTCTTTTTAACTCTTTTAGCTCCGAATTCACAAAAATAGAAAAATATAGATATGATTAAAAGAAGATTAAACTAAGTCGAACAATATTTAATGACATTCACATTGGTATTATTATGATTGAGATTGCCTTTCATTGTTCACATGGCTTAAAATATAATGAATTTTCCATTTTTCAAAAGATTTATAAAGCTCATTCATTTAAAATTTATGTATGTACACACATGGATAACTCCCTACATTTCTCATCTAACCCCAACTTTTTAAACTTCATTTTAACAATTACACAAACATATATATTTTTTTCAGTTCATAAAACAGAAAAAAGAAATTATAATTACGTGTCCTAGATTAAAAAAGTTGCGTGTCTGAACTCAAAAACCTGGGGAAGGCTTCTAGCGTGGCGTTTCCAAGACAATGTAGAGGGTGTGTTTGGTAAGGAGGAAAACGTTTTTTGAAAAGATTTTCTCATTTTTTGGGTTTGATTTGATTAATTTGTTTTTAAGAAAATAATTTTTTATAAGGTAAAGGAGATGACAAATTGTATGGACAAATTTTATTTGCCAAATCTTTTCAAATACTACTGCCAAACACATGGTGATATTTCACCCAAATTTTCACTCAAATAATATTTGCCAAAATATTTGAAAATTGATGACCAAACTCTGGTTATATAATTATTATATCCTCCCGTGCCTATCCCTAGATCATTCTACCCCGAGGTCCGACGTTCTATATAGGGTAAGTCATGGCTATGATTAAAAATTAGGTCGATTAGAAAAAATGATATTTGGTTTGATTTGGGTAGATTTTGTTTTAAATTTTTAAATAAATTAATACTATTTGACTTAATTTTGAATTTATTAAAAAATAACAACAAAAACAACCAAACTAACAAACAAATCAGATATATAGATCCATCAAAATGTATTTTAATCTTTAACATACCTTAATTCATATAAAATAATCACATTTTATTTTTATTAAATTATTTTATTCGTGTAATGTGAATCGTTGATTAATAGGTGTTTATGTGAGAGAGTAATATTTAATTAGTTGCGACTTGTCTTCCGTGTTTGCTTTGTGTTGCTTCGGTTTAAGGTCAACTAACTACCTTTTTAAATTTGGTGTCAATTGACAAAATCACTACGTACTTACCTTCCAACATACTCCTTTCTCTTTTCCTCTCTTTTTCTTTTACATTATTTATTTAAGCACAAAAGCATGTTTGGCATAACAAAAATTTACTTTTCCAAAAGTTTTAAGATAATTGTTTTATATTTTTTTGATACAATCAAGCGAAAAATGTTTGATATATTTTTACACTTTGTCATTTAAAACTCATATATGAAAACAACTTATATATATCCTTTGAGTTGTTTGGTTTGATATCAAGTTATGATGGATAAATTATGATTAGATTAGTTATGATGGAATTATTTTTTATTTAGTGTTTATTTGTTGTATTCAAAATAATAAATTTTAAAAATAATTTAGTTATTTATTAAAATGCCCTCCAGCAATGTAAAATGTGATGTAACAAAAAGGTGTCATTTACTTATTTTGTCACGTGATAAGTTATCTCAAAATTACTACATCACACAAGGGGAGAGATAACTTATTCCGGTCTAATTATCCCGAACTTGCCAATCAAATAACAAATTAGGTATATTATTTAATTCAAAGACTATTTTGTATTATCCTTCACACCGAACGACTCCTTATTATTATATAAATTTGAGTTATTTATGTACGAAAAAAAAGAATATTGGAATCAATTTTATAACAGTAGTCCAAGTGACAAAATTGAGGAGTATGTCAAACTAAAATTTTGGTCTAACAAATAGTAAAAAAATTTCTCAATCCTCATATGAGTAAAATTTATTTTTTATTTGGGGGACTACTAAAATATTATTATCAATACTCAAATTTTACCTAAACATTCTTCGCTTTGTTAATGTACGGTACCAATAATTAACGCGTTCATAGTCGATTGGATTTTGTAATAATTTATAAATTGATTCAATTTTAATTCTAAGAGATTTTGCTTATGCATATAATAGATTTGAAAATAAAATGATCTTTATAATGTCTCTTCTTTTTATCTATTCAAAATGGAAAGAATTATGTTCGTTCCCTAGCTAAATTCACCTTCTATTTTTCCTCTTCTTTTTACTTATGCTGATTGATTAATAATCTTTTTTGGACAAATTAATTTTCTTTAATTTTAATTTTGCAGAATATTATTTTATTTAATTAATACGGAATTAACTATATCTACTTCATTTTTTTCTGTAAAGGCAATTCAGGCACATGATTTTTTACGAACAATCTGCATTTGAATATGTGTTTTTGCACCATTTGAAAATTTAAATTGTGGCTCTAAATGCAGAGTCTAATGTTTTAGTTTTCATTCTTTATATAATTTTTATTAAGATTAGATTAGTTAATTAAATATCATTTTTAGTTAATTAATTCTCAGTTAATTAGTTAGTTAGCCTAGTTGGTTAGTTTGTTAGTTAGCGGCAGCTCATTGACAGCTATACTATTGTTATAATTTTTTTCTCCTTGTATAAAACGTGTACAACTACAATGGAATAATTTGAATTGATTTTTCCCAAACTCATTGTTCTTCTTCTTCTCCAACTGCATCCTTATAGATTCTGTTTTGCTCATGTGAGCACTGATATTAACATGGTATCAGAGCACAATTTACTTTGATAGGTATTGTCTGTGATTCTCTTCTTCTTCTGTTTCTATCGAACTTTAGAAATTGTTCTTTCATTCTCTTCTTTTTCTTCTTCTTCTATTTCCATCAAATTCTAAAAAATTGTTCTTCGATCTAAGCAGTTTGAGATTGCATCGATTTTATATTCTTTTCTGATAGAAGTGTTGAAATACATATATTGAATTGATCTAAGATGACAAATGAAACTGTTGAACAATCAAGTGGCAATGGTAGAACAACTAATGGTACTGGGAGTGAGGAAGTCAATTCTGCTATGTACATGCATCCATCTGATAATCCAGGTGCATCCTTAGTGCAAATTCCTTTTGATGGAACATGATACAAATTATGGAGGAGAAGTGTTTACAGATTTCTCTCAGTTAAGAACAAATTAGTTTTTATCAATGGAGAGTGTAAGAAACCAGATCCAGGAACATTGCAATATCGTCAATGGGAAATGTGCGATGATATAGTGACATCATGGATTCTAAATTCACTTGCAAAAGAAATTTTCGATGGTGTGGAGTATGTGAGTGATTCGTTTGAGTTATGGAAGGAATTGGAGGATCGATATGATCAGACGAATGGAGCAAAACTCTACCAAGTTCAACGTGAGATAAATGATTTATCTCAAGGAATTTTGGATATCACAACATACTATACAAGGATGAAAAGATTGTGGGAGGAATTACGTACTCTTCACAAGAAGATTCAATGTAGCTGTAACTGTGTTTGTGGAGCTAAGGAAAATTTTTATAAAGCAGAACAGGACAGGAGATTGATTCATGTCCCTTATGGGATTGAATGAGGTGTATACTGCGATTCGAGGAAGCATTCTCATGATGAATCCTTTGCCATCACTTGCACAAGCATTCTCAATAATTAGTGCAGCACGAAAAACAACGGGAAATCAAGCCCATCAATCAGTTGTTCATGGAGTCGACTTCTCTTAATGTGCATGGTTCAGGAGGAGCAAGTACCTCCAAACAACCTCGACAGACTCAACAAAGTTATCCTCCTTCAGCAGGAAATAACAGTTTCAGAACCAATTATTCTCAGACCTCCAACACTTACAATAACAATAGGGGTCGTGTGGTGTGTGACTACTGCAACAAGATAGGACACACCAGAAATAAGTGCTATAAACTCCATGGATACCCACAAACAAACAATCATAATCCTTACAATAATAACTAGAATTTTCAGAATGGATATCGCAACAATTAAAATTAGAATACTAGGTTCAACAAAGGCAAAGGACTCATGGATGATGTGCATGGTCCTTCAACTGATGTGATGTCAAGTGGAGATGAGGAACAAGGGGGTAGACATGATACACACCCCGAATTGACTAGGGAACAGTATGAACAATGCATGAGTTTGTTGCAGTAATTTCAAGCTGAAAACCATGGAGAATCTGTCAAAGGCATGACCCTATGTGTGGCAACGTGAACCTTGCAGGTATGATAGTCTGTACTTCCTCTGTTGATTTTGGAAAATTATCCTGCAGGTGTTTCAAAAACAAGTCTAACTCTTGAATTGTAGACTCAGGAGCCTCAAATCGTATGAATTTTGACATGAAATTCCTAACTAATACGGCCTACTTACCTTATCCTTTGTTAATCACCCTACCAAATGGTTATAAGGTGAAAGTCACTCAGATTGGTGAAGTGATACTTGCATCAAACATTATCTTAAATGAAGTGTTGTATGTGCCCTCTTTTAAGTATAATCTTGTGTCTATTCAATGCCTTTCTAAGTCTATACCAAAGAGTGTTGTATCCTTCACTGAAACATCATGCATTTTGCAGGCCCCTTCAATGAAGAGGCCTCTGGTGATTGGTGAAGCTGAGGGAGGGCTCTACTTTCTTTGTGCAAACTGTCTGAAACACACCAACTACTTTGTTGCCTCAAATGCTCTAACTTATATTTCTGGTTCTTGTAATTCTAATCCTGATCTTTAATCTTTTCCTAGTTTTCCATGTAAACACAATAATGAATGTCATGAATACTATAGTGTAGACAATGTTCTCAAGAAGAATAAATGTTCACATAGCTCTACTATAAAAAAATCAGTTTTGGAAAATAAAAGTCAGTCTCATGTTTCTACTTCTCTTATGTCTCATACTTGTGATGTTGTTGTATTGTGGCACAATAGACTTGTCCATGTACCTTTTGCGAAGATGAGGGAGATTAAATGCATAACTGAAAAATTCTCAACCAAACAACCTTTTCTGTGTAATATTTGCCCAATGGCAAGACAAGAAAGACTGTCATTTTCCCACAGTATCAACACATCCACCAAAATATTCCAATTGTTACATATTGACTTATGGGGACCTTACCATACATCAACACATGATAACCATAAATATTTTTATCACTTTAGTTGATGACTACAATAGATGTACATGGACCCAATTGTTAACCTGCAAGAGTAACACCTTAGAAGTTCTCGAGACATTCATATACATGGTTGAGAATCAATTTGATACTACTATTAAGTGTATCAGGACTGATAATGGGATTGAATTCATCAATACAGAAACATCATCTTTTCTAAAGTCAAAAGGAATCCTTCATGAGAAAACTTGTCCATACACACCACAACAAAATGGTATAGTGGAGAGAAAACACAAATACTTATTAGAAACTGCTAGAGCTCTCCTTTTTCAATCTAAGCTGCAAACAAAATATTGGGGGGGGGGGGAGGGGTGTATTGTGTGCCACATATATCATCAACAAACTTCCTACTTCCCATGTCAAAGGAAAATGTCCATATGAACTGTTGTACAACTCCAAACCATTATACTCTCACATGAGATCTTTTGGATGTCTTTGTTACCCAACCATTCTTAAGTGTCAAAGAGACAAATTACAAGACAGAACTACACCACACATTTTCATAGGGTATCCCTTTGGATCAAAAGGTTAAAAGGTTCTTAGTATGTCCACAAGAAAGATACATGTATCTAGAGATGTAATTTTCAAAGAAAATATTTTTCCATTTACAGTTGTTTCTGATGTGTCATCTTTTCCTTCTGTTCTGTCTTCTGTACTTGTTGTAGATATTATTGATATTGAAATTGGTTCACAAACACTACTGCTTGAGAATAATGAAATTGATGCAAGTAACATTCCAGGTTACATTTCCCTTAACCAAACATTACCAAATTCTACATATACATATCCCACCATTCAACACAGAAATGAATCGATTACAACATCAAATAGACCTCATAGAACACATAAACTGCCTGCATACTTACATGATTACATCCTTCCTAAATCTATATCTAAACAAATATCAACTAATGTTCTTTCCCTCAATACTGCCTTCTCTAAATACCAAAATATAACACCTGAAGTTCTAGAACATGAGAGTCAAGTACTTGTAAGAAACATTAGCAGTGATGATGAACCTTCTCATATGAGGAAGCAACCATCAATCCTGCTTGGCAACTAGCTATAACACAGGATTTCGAAGCATTATATTCAAACCATACTTGGGATTTAGTGGATTTACCTAGTGGAAAGATGGCCATAGGGTGCAAATGGGTGTATAAGGTAAAATGTAAGGCTGATGGGTCCATTGAGAGATTTAAGGCACGACTTGTGGTGAAAGGCTACACTCAACAAGCTGGGATTGATTACACAGAAACCTTTTCACCAGTCATTAAAATGACAACTGTAAGAGCCTTGTTAGCCACAACAGTTAAGAAAGGATGGAGCATTTACCAGCTAGATGTGAACAATGCATTCCTTCATGGTGAACTGCATGAAGAAGTATACATGGAAGTACCACCAGGCTTAGTAGTAGTAAAGTCGGGGATGGTGTGCAAGCTGAATAAGTCACTGTATGGGTTGAAACAGGCGAGCAGGCAGTGGTATGCCAAACTAGCCGAAGCATTATATACTAAAGGTTACACCCACTCTTTAAATGACTACTCTCTCTTTCACAAAAAGAGTGCAGACTCTACCATTTTTGTGGTTGTTTATGTAGATGATGTTATCCTAACTGGCACAAGTATAACTGAGATAGAAGAACTCAAAACTTTCCTACATGATAAATTCAAGATCAAAGACTTAGGTAAGTTGCATTATTTCCTTGGGATGGAGGTACTTTACAAGGAAGATGGACTCATTCTTTCACAGAGAAAGTTTGTTCTTGATTTGCTTAAGACTTACAATGTTTCTAGCCTAAGCAACTGCACTTCTCCATTGGATCCTGCTGTAAAATTTCATGCCAAAGAAGGTTCTCAACTTTCAGATCCTGCATTTTACAGAAAACTTATTGGGAAGTTAAATTTTCTGATTAATATTAAAATGGACATATCCTATAGTGTGCAGCATCTTAGTCAGTTTATGCAGGACCCGAGGGAGCCTCATTTAAAGGCAACATTCCATCTCCTAAGGTATCTCAAAACAGACCCAACTATAGGCATATTCATGTTGCATGATCAGTCTTACAATGTTAAAGCTTATTGCGACTCAGATTGAGCTGCATGTCTTGATTCCAGAAAGTCTGTGAGTGGGTATATTGTAGTGTTAGGTAATAGTCCACTCAGTTGGAAATCAAAGAAACAGGAAACAGTATCTCTATCTTCAGCTGAGGAAGAGTATAGGGCCTTGAGAAAAGCTGCAGGCGAATTAGTTTGCTTAAAAGATTGCTTGAAGAACTCACAGTGCCCCTGCCAACTCCAATTGATGTATATTGTGATAGCCAGTCAGCTCTGCACATTGCTCGAAATCTTGTATTCCATGATAGAACCAAATTTATCGAAGTTGACTGCCATTTTGTGTGAAACCTACTACAAGAAGGCTTCATTTTGCTACATCACATAGGATCCGACGATCAACTGGCAGACATATTGACCAAAACATTGACTGGGGTTAAACATTCTGCTGCATTACACAAGTTGTCAGTGTTTTCCACTCCTCCAACTTTTGGGGGGGGGGGGTATTAAGATTAGATTAGTTAATTAAATATCATTTTTAGTTAATTAATTTTCAGTTAGTTAGTTAGTTAGTCTAGTTGGTTAGTTTGTTAGTTAGTGACAACTCATTGACATCTGTACTATTGTTACAAATTTTATTCTCCTTGTATAAAACGTGTACAACTACAATGGAATAATTTGAATTGATTTTTCCGAAACTCATTGTTCTCTTCTTCTCCAACTACATCCTTATGGATTTTGTTTTGCTCATGTGAGCACTGATTATAAGCAATTTCGTGTGATTTGTGATCTAATGAAATTAACATGTTCGTTTGTTTTTTTAATTTACAAAAGCACTATACAAATATTAATTTGAAATAATATTCTTTTATTTTATAAGAGTATACAGTATTTAGTTTTCAAAAGGAAAATACACAACAGAGTAAATATATGATGTGTAGTTAAAATAAACTACTATAGTTATAAATATTACAATTTATAGCTACATGTAGGATTTTAAAGTAAATTTTTCACTCCTCTCTTTCAATCTCCTTTGCCTCTCTCGCGTCCTCTCTCTCTCACTCTCACCTATATAATGATGATCTAGGTATATATCACTGTTTTTATATTTAAATGATATATTTGTTTTGAATTATATTTTATATTTATTTTGTATTGTATCTTGAATTTATTTAAAGCATATATGTTCTATGTTTTGTATCAATTGTATTCGAGATCAAAAAAGGGAGGAGAGAAACAATCGAGATCGAGAGAGAGGAGACTCGATGAATACAATTGTATTTGTCGTATTTCAAATACAATTGATACGGAATACACGAAACGCTTATGCATTAAATAAATATAAAGCACA